AAATGTTTTACAGCCCAAGTAACAGCTAAAGTTTGCGTTCGATAGTGCTGTATCTACTTTCAGTGTAACTACGTCCTACTAGCGTATGCAACAGGTCTATCACTACCAATAGGTGTCTGTGATAGAACTGGTCCTAAAGCTACATTAGAGGCGTGAGTCGTCAAGATAAAAGTTTATTCAATGTCCGGGTACTGTAGTAAGGGTACATTCGTTAGTATTTCCTTACATTTTTCAAACGCATTAATATTTTTTTTTCATCGATGATTATCTTGTATCGCTTTTTAAAGCATGCAGTTCAAGGTTGTGTTATCTTAGCAAAGTCCTTGAAGCGTCGATAATACCTAGTATACCTAAATATTTAAATCTCTTTGATAATACCTTAACAATCCTAAGAAACTTTTAATTTCCGTTGATGTCTTAGGTATAGGAAAATTTAAAATAGCTTTAATTTTGTCTGTTCGGTCGTAGACCTTCTTTTCTAATGGTATGTCCTAAATATAGAACCCCCTTCCTTGAAAATTCAGACTTGTCTAATTGGACTTTTAGGTTAGTCGTCCTAATTCAGTCAAATATCGTCCGTAACTTTTGTATATGTTCTTCCAGACTTATCGAAAACACAAATATAACATCTAAGTATACCATGCAGTGTATCCCCTGTAATTCTCTCAGCACACTGTCTATTGTCCGCTGAAAAGTTGCAGGAGCTGTCTTCAGGCCAAATGGCTCCTGAAAAATTCATAATGACCGTTTTGAGTATTAAAGGCGGTCTTTTGCCTGTCTTTTTAGAAATAAGAACTCTTCCCTAACTTGTCGAATAAATCTGTTATATTTGGTAGTGGGTATTTGTCGTCGATGGTTATGTCATTCAAACGTCGATAGTCTATAACCATACGAAATTTAATTTCACCAGCTGCATCCATTTTTTGGGTACAAGATGTACAGGAGCATTCCATGGCGAATATGACTCCTGAATAACATTGTCCTTTAATAACTTGTCTACTTGCCTATTTATCTCGTCTACTTGTATTGGTGCTTGACGGTAGGGTCTGACATAAAATGGGTCTTAATTTTTGTGCGTATTTTATATTTCATTTTATTAGCGAAAGTCAGTGGCAATTTGTCACATTAAAATATGTCTTTAAATTCTTAGCAAAGTCTAAAAATGTTGTCACGTTCCTCATCGTTAGTGTGATTAAATCTTAGTTTAAGTAGATTTTACTCGAGTATCTTATCAATCTCAATGTCAATATAGGTACTTGGTAAAGTTTATGTCACATTGAGTAGTAGTCTCATACTTAGTAACTGTAAAAGGTCGTGTTACTATCAATATCATTTCGTTGTCAAGGACGTTCTGTACGACGGTTGTGGCATAACCGTTGACGCAATTTACCAATGCACTAGGTATTAGTACACCTCTGACAAACTCCTTATAATTAATGAATGCCTGTCCAGAACATTGGTCTGCTGGCCACTTTACGCACTGCTCTGATCGTAGTGATAGTGTTATAACATAATTCAAGTTATTATTAAGTATTGATATGCAAGTTTTATTGGTTTTAAGTACGAGGTTTTTAAGGTCTATTATTTTATCTAGTCGTTTCATTAGGTCATTACTTATGAGACCATCATAACGAGAGTCAACGTCATATAGATAAAATTTATGACAATCTGAACTCTTGTAAATGGCTAGTAAAGGGATTTGTATCACCTCATCGTGTCTACTAGAGACGTGGGTGCTGACTACTTCGAATAACTAATGTGTTATATATTGATAAAAGTATTGGTATACCTTACGGGAGCCGATAAAAGATCTAGTACTATCTGTATCTACCATTAATTTTGCATCTATTTCAGGAATATGATAAGGTAACTTGAGATTCGGATCACAATTTAGTTCTATGATTTCTTGTCTCCAAATTTTCAATAGTGTGAGTTTGAGTTCCGTCTGTAAGTTCGCTATAAGTCATTTTGTCAATAGTTTCCTCAGCGGATAGTGTCAATTCACTGTCATATTGTTCTACATACTCGTCTGTGTCATAATACTCATCATAATTCTGTCCGTCGTTTTCTCTTAAAGTTAACTCATTTAATTTAAAGCCGGGCTGTGGCCTTGGAGGAGCTTTCCTAATGGAAACGTCAGTCTCTTAAAAATTGGGTTTCTGAATTTTTGGCTTATTACCAAATTGTGTGGTTGCCATATGGCCAAATTGCTGTTGAGGTCTTTGACCAAATGGTTGTGGCTGAAAGCCCAGTGTTTGAGGCTGCCTTAAAGCTAAGCCGCTACTACCGTGGATACAATTTCGCATATTGTATTGATCGTGGAAGTTGATTTCCTCTAGTACAATGCTCAGTACGTCTTCTAAAGTTGCTGGCATGTTTAACCTCACTATCCGAACCACATTTTCGGGAAGATTGTATAGGAATACGATTAGAGCAGTATTGTTGTAAATTGCCAATTTAGCGCTTTTAAGATTACTATCATTTTTTTATAGGATAAGGGTGACAAACGAGCACACAGTCCACCTGGTGGTAAATGGTTGCTGTGGCCCATAAACATCTACATCTATCTTCGATTAAGAATCAAAATGCAGATGCGTTGTCACCCGTGAGGCCTAAGATGGAATGCCTCGTTTCCAGAAAAAGGGTCTCCGGTTCTCTAAACTCACTAAACGAAACACAGCAGCGTTAAGCTGCTATTTTACGCTGGTATTCTGTGAGAGCGTGGTCCTTCCCCGGTCGAGCCGACCCATTCGTGCAACTATACTATTAATATAGCTGCAGCATGACTCTACCACGTATAAAAATCGGATATATTTACTTTTGAAATTAATAATAATCGAATACTTTTAAGACAGTTACAAAAATCTTGAAAGTTTTCCCCAGATTTAATCTTTAAAGATTCTAATTAATACTTAAACACTCTTCGCTACGCGGGTCTCCAAAATGCTGCGTTAACAAATCTTTCAATTGAGACCACGACACGACATCCTCACGTTCCGATAAGAGTGTCGCCGCGTTATCTGTAAGCCTACTAGTTATAGAGTGATATACTTATAAATTTTGTTCTTCGTCACCCCTATACCTACGAATGATATATTAACATTTTGTCTCCATTAAAAAGTGGAATAAGCCGTAGCCGCATTACTGTAGGAATGGGATTAATTACAACGGTTTGTCGTTCTGCTGCCTGTGGCTGTTCCATCGTTATAGAATAATGCACGAGTCAGAGGAGTCAGTTAATATAGCACACTATTTTATGCAATAACACAAAATATAAAGTACAACACACTAAAACGCTAACGCATACAAAAATATAATTAAAAAATAAAAGTTTATTTTTTAATTATAAAATTTGTAAAAATGTAAATGTAATAGAAATGGAAAAAAACTGTAACAAAAAATGAAACAAAACTGTATTATATCTCTAGCATTAATAAAACATATATTCATTAATTATCAAGTAAAGTTTTAATTAGATTTAATTTATTATTTGTTAAAAAGTCTTATTTTTAAACGTTTAATAATCTCTGTGCGAAGAGGCACTTTATGTCCCTTATTCTTATCAGCTTTATGTTACGCCTACAGTAATAGAGTGTCTATTACTAAATAAGTTTAATTGAAAAACCAGATACGTTATAATGAGAGAAGTCCGATCTCAATAATAACAAATATAAATAAAAATGAAGGACAATAGTGGTATCAAGGATGGTGAAAAGTTTTACTCACCAACCAGCCACTATTCCCATGACTTCCGTTTCCCTTGATGACAAATTTATTTGGTTCTTGGATTTGTCCAACAGCTATTCGCACCACTATCACGAATCTAGGCGAATTTGGACACCTGAATATTTCGAGAGACGGTACAGCCTTCGCGAACAAATCCTACCGGCTGCGTTAGTCAAATTTCGGGAACGTCGAAAGGAGTTTTTAAAAACTAAAATACAATTAGATTACTACGTCTCACCGATTTGGAGGTGATTTTAATAATGAACGATATTCAAAGAGTCCGTTCGTGCGCAGTCAACTAAGTACTAGGAACTTATATAGAAATGCTGATGCATTAGTTTTATTGCTCAGTCTAAATAATACAATATTATATATTTAAATATTTTAGTCTAAAACAGAGGGACGGGGTGTATCCATAACTATCTAGGGCCTCACTCAAGCACACACAAAAAAATTCATCAAAATCGGTCCAGCCATTTGGGAGGAATTCAGTGAAAACAAAGGTATACAAAAATTGTATATATAAAGAAGAGCTACGAGGGTACCCTCTACTATAAGGATGTACACTAGGACAGTAAAGTTAATTGTCCAACAAAGCTTAGTTTTTTAAGATCTTTCGTTAACCCAGCCTAAACCAAAACATTAATCCTTTTTTATTTATTATAAGCCAGTGACATATTATGACATATTTGTTTACTACGACCAATGGCTTATATTTTTATTGTCCTGCTACGTCGTAGCACTTCGTAGCTTTATAGAATATAACTGACAAATAAGTATTTTAGACACAATTATTTTTATAATAGAACTTTTTTAATATTCCTCATAATAGGTATATGTAATGAATTAGATTTTTTTTTTACATTTCATAAAATTTTCAGCTTTCTACGACGTAGCATTAATCAGGATGGTAGAATACATAATAATTATTGCACATAAAGCAAGGACGCTTCAACTCTATAACATACATACTTGGCGAAAATCTTCCTTTGCATATTTACGAAATAAGTTAATAATGTGTATTTTGTTAGCAATAATTTGTAAATTAAAGGTAACGTCGAGGGTTGTCAGTAAGAATGATATTCCCAACATAAGTTTGCCGTTGTCAAAATCAGTTTCGTTTAATTTTAGACTTTAGTGAATGGAGTTAGGTGTTTGGCTACACGTAGTTTGATGGGAATATTGGTCGAGTATACTGATAACGACGTCGCAGCTGGCAGCCGGCCCGCTGCCTGCCACGGAGCTTATAAAAGAGGGCGCCGCTCTGTTCCCACGCCCGGTACGCAGCAAATCAGCCGCTGTCCTCATGGGGCACACTAACCTATCTCGATAGTAAATTTAATATATAAATACTAATATTTTAATGTGTTCAAACCAGTGATTGGGACCAAGTGATAAGTGATACGGTAAGTTAGTTTCTGCGACTCAAGTTAGTGATGGTGCTACCAAATGAGGACTGTGGTTTGTGGAAATTGTGCTAGTTCAGTGTTGCCCGACCCAATGGAATTTTGATTTTGGATACGAGCGATAAATGGATGTTTTAGTGCGAAATCTACAACAGATATACGATAAATTGTTACAACCAATATACGTAAATAAATTTACGAGGAAAAACTACAACAAATTTTATAGTACATGCCAGTGTTGCTATAAATAAATAAGAGCGCAGTAATTGTGAAAAATGTCATCAACAATTCGAAACATTCTTTAAAAATGTGAAAGTAGTATAAAATATATGTTTCTTTTATTATAAATGAAAGAAAGGCGTTGATATTTTTATAAAAAGTTTAAATGACATTTTAATGAAATTTTGGGAGAAATACGAGTATTTTAAGAACACTACAATTTTAGCCTAAACTTTCTTTTTTTTTTTACTGCACACTTATTTATTTCTGTAATATGTTCTGTTAATATTCTTCCTATTCGTTACTTATTTAAAAAGAAAAGTACTACGAGTATGTTTTCGTTTAAAACTTGAATGAATATAAACTATTTAAGATTGTGGGCTGTAATCTAATACCACAATCTACTTGTCGGTGTCCGTTTAAATATAGGTTTTTTATTAATACTGACAAGTGCAAAGTTTTGGCTACTACTTTATATAATGGCATGTTTAAGATATTTTTCATGGAAGACAATTTATGAAACATGCTTTATAAATAATAACTACGCTTTGATATTACCATCAGTTGTCTCGGTGTATTAAAAAACATACATAACTACATACGTATACCCTAAAAACGAAAACTTTCAGAAAGATGTGGCCGGCGTGAATTTATTTCTGTATTTTATGTTGTATATGAGTATATGCATCTGGGTCTGTCTTTTAATCATTTCTAGGCACAATTATCATCTTCGTAGCAGTAATTCTTATCTTTATTTTTCTAATTACCGTTTACGCTTTTTTCCATTTTCAATAAATTTATCTTTTGTATTTTTTAATGATGACGATGGTTTTCTCCTTTTAGTTGTTTTTTAACAATAGCAATATCTTACTAGGAACAGCCATAAACTAGCAACTGAACATACGTTGAATTATGATTATTAGACCTAGATGATTGTGGCTACAGCACGAATGGATCGAGCTCAACCGGGAAAGGATCACGCTATTGGAATACCATAGTAAAATCCATAATGCTACTTTGTTTCGCTTTATGCTAACTAAACATTCTATCTTTGTCATGAGGAGTGATTATAGATGTACATATTGATTCTTAATGAATAATAAATGAAGGTATCTTTGAGACACAGCATTTACTTACTATCAGGTGAGCTGTGTTGTCAACTGGTGTTGGTGACTGTAAACCAGTGCGTATTGCCAGTGATATATGACCTATGGACCTGAGACGTGGCCCTTCACTGCTGGCCGTATGAGGAAGCGCAAAGCTCTTAGCGAGCTATGGAGGGGGCTATGCTCGGGCTTTCCCTGCGTGATATACTTAAAAACGAGGATATCCGCAGTAGAACCAGAATAACCGACATATCCCTACGGATTAGTAAGCTGAAGTGGCAATGGGCTGGCCATATAGCTCAAAGAACCTACAACCGATGGGAAAAAAGGTTCTCGTGTGGCAGCCTCGTACCGGCAGGCGAAGTGTAAAGCGTCCCTCCGCTAAATGGAGTGACAACCTGGTAAGACATGCAGGAAGTCAATGGATGCAAGTGGCTCGGGACCGTGCTTTGTATCGTTCCTTGGGGGAGGCCTATGTTCAGCAGTGAACTTGTGAATGCTTGTAATGATTACGATAAGGTGAACTGTGTTCCTGTGTCACCATTGTCTGATAATTTTAAAGTAGGGTTCGTGGATACTCGAGGCCTATAATCACCTGCATTGCAACTCTACCTCTTGTCCAAACGAATAGGTTCAACAATAACAGACAACGGTCTATATACATGCAAACTTCACAATCTGTAGGTATAAATAATAATTTATACCTTCAGATTGTGAGCAATAGCTCAAGGAAAACCCTAAATCGTAATTTATCATATTTTTTATTATAGACTAAGTGTGACAAACGAGCACACAGTCCACCCGATGGTAAGTGGATGCTGTAGTCCATAGACATATACATTTATCTTCAATTAAGAATCAAAATACAGGTGCGTTATCACCCCTGAGGACTGAGATAGAATGCCTCGATTCCAGTAACTCACCATACGAAACACAGCAGCATTAAGCTGATATTTTACGCTGGTATTCTGTGAGGGCGAATTCCTTCCCCCGGTCGATCCGACCCATTCGTGCTACAACCCCAATATAGACGCAGCTTGGCTCTACGTAAAAAAAACTATTATTTCTAAATATCATATCTAAAATATATAAGAATATTGCTTACTGTTTCTTAACAAAATCTAAATCATTGGTTTGACCCTACATTGAATCAATTTATATCTTTAAAATAATTTCCCTAATAGACAAAAATAATATACAAAAAAATTACATTCACGTAAATAGAAGGCTTGTGTGTAGTATAGGATAAAACTAGTTACAACGATGATAAAAGGTGCATAAATAAAGGTGCGGTAAATAACATTTGAATATTATATATCGATGTTCTTAAGTTGTTTAATCACTTTTTGAATTAAAATGTGTCTGTAACTTAATGTAGGTACTAATACTCTCTGTCGCCTCTTACGACACCCACGGAATCATACATGGTAAGGTTTTATCTTAAGCCACCATCACACGGCAATATAGCGTATATATGATGCTTATTTTACTAATAATATATATTATTTTACTACTTTACTACTACTACTTTTACTTATTTTACTAATAGTATATACATAATATTTCATACAATATTTTCTAATAACTCTCGAAACTCTCTTACTTTCTTTTAACTCTCGAAATTCACGGGATAAACGCTTACCTTAGAATTTTAAAGTACGCGAACCAACCGAGCTTTATCCCTGTCGATATTACTGTAATTGTTAATTACATTTTGAATTACCACGTGGTCAGAGGTCGCTTAACAACACCAGTATTGTTTAGAATTTTGGCTACGAAAAGTTCGCCTAATCTTTCATACCATGTCCAATGTATCACCTAAATCCCTTGCGTGGATAGCCAACTTCGAACCTGCCAACGCAGATGGTTACGACACTTCAAGTATGTACTATAATTCTATTTCGATTATTACCTTCGCCTGTTTATTTCTAGATGACGAATCGCCTTACGAATATATTCTCTGACAGTGGTTACATCGTGCGTACGCACTGGCGCACATTGGCTCGTTACATTATCGAGGAATTTTAAAAGCATTTTATATTTTCCGCATCTACTCATCTACTCTTCGCTTCTTTAAGTTCTTTCTCGTTGATCCCGACCAACGGTTAACTGAACACAGTTAACGGTCAATTAACTTTATTTTTAATATAAAAATAATTTAAAAGATTAATTTAATAAAAAAAACTGTTATTTGGTAAAGAGTAGATGTAAGTTTTCTATGGAAAATAAATAATTATAATCAATAAATATTCTAGAAATTGAACCAACTAATATAAAATAAATTATGAGCTCACATACGTAAATACGTATGCAGTCTGGCTAATGTATTTTTTAATCGATCGTTAACGTCATTACACCTAATCTTTTACTACAAATATTTGTATCCGATTGATGGTGCCTTCTAACTAGCTTGATTCTGATTCACCAATTGACCTCTTTTTCTTATTGTATTATTCGTTTTTCGTGTCATTCCTTTCAACATCCCTAATAATTTAAATATTTTGACTTCAAGACACAGTTAGTTCATTCTGCGTAGATCGGACCAAAATTATTAATTAAAAAAGCTGACGGTACTCCGGTTTAACACTGACATCGGGACGTCAATCACCTCAGTCCCCCGTGACCACGGTTGCTGGAAAGCAACCGAAACGTCGGGAATATAAAATAAGTTAATTAAACGCGATAAAATCCGTAAAAATAGTTTTACAACATAATTATTGTAAAAATGTAATAAATTCAACTTTGTATACGTTTTAACAACGGTAGCGTATAAAATCGAAACAACATTAAAAACAGCAATTGATTAAATTACATGTCATGGTAGTATTACGTATTCATGCAGCATTCGCATTTTATTTAATATTTCAGTTTTTCCAGCTACCAAAATAACTGTTAACATTGGCATTCAGCTGTTTCCCTGTGATTTGCTATTTTCATTTTCTAAATATATTTACACGGCGACAACACAAGGCTGACATTTTTTGGTGGTCGCCGCGTGATCGTTTGCATAAATATACTTTTGAGCTAGTCATAAACTCTTCAAAATGACGCCTAGTGGTTCCTTTTTTTTAAATCAAATTATGAAAAATCACGTAAATTATGCAGTAACGACTATACGCGCGTATGATATCTTATCCGTGGTAGAGCCATGCTGCAGCTATATTAGTAGTATAGTTGTAGCATGAATTGGTGGGCTCGACCGAAGTAGGACCATGCGCTCACAGAATACCTGCGTAAAAGTTTCGTATGCTGAGTGTAGCGAACCGGAGACCCTTTTTACTGGAAAAGAGGCATTCCATCTTAGTCCTCACGGGTGACAACGCATCTGCATTTTTATTCTTTATTGAGGACAGATGTAAATGTCTGTGTCACAGCAACCACCAGCAACCGTAAATATGACCAATATGGCCGTGTCTTGAACGAGTAAAAATTGAAGGAAAACAATGGTTTAGGCCTATATCTATTTGAACTGAACATCTAGGCAAGTTGAAGTATTATATAATTGGATTTCTTGTGAGTTGAGTTTGAGTTCAAGTATGTACACATTATACATTTAAATTGTTAAACTGTGAAGATGTTGATGAAAATTTTAACAGCATAATTTAAAAGCAATAAGTTTTCACGCAAATTGATAAAATACCTCATCAAACGTTCCGTTACATGGTTTCATAGGCA